GTAACTTCCGTGTTGGCTTCAAGAGAGAGAGCGGGAGGTTGCCGCTCGGTACTGACGCAGGGTGCCGCGGTCTAGTTTGTCCCTCGTGCGTTTCCGTCTGACGTTTACAGGAGACTGACGTGTCTTTTCTCTCAGAAGTTTCAGCGTGAGATTATTAAGAACTGATTTGAAAATCAAGAATTAATTAAATGCTTTAGTGCGACGAGAACACTAGTTCTGTAATTAAGTTTAGTCATGGCGGCAGACTGGGAGGAAATCAGGCGTCTAGCTGCGGACTTTCAGAGAGCTCAGTTTGCAGATACTGTCCAAAGGTAAAAACCATGTTGTTGTTGTTGTTGTTATTATTGCTGTTGAGCTTCATCCCGCCCCCTGCTTTCTTATGTCTTGAAGCAGTATATCCTGAACAAGAATTTGCAAACTGACAAAGAGTCTTGAGCCACAAAGTATTGGAAAGCTGACGGCTCAGTTTCATGCGACATTAACGGTCGCGCGATGTAACGTCGTCGTCTTCGGTATTTACAAGCGTCGCTGCTGTATAACGCGTCAGAACTGATCATTTCTATCCTTTACCTGCGCTTTTGTTGTAACTGCACGATTTTGGGCCGTGTCATGGTGCACAGTGATGCTCTTTGGACTGTCTTACGGTGTCAAGCACGTTGTAGCCTGTACAGTACAGTACAGTACGGAAATCATGTAGCACCATATGGTATTACGAGTAAAAATATGCAATTTTGTGCAGATGTTGTTTTTATGGCCAAAAAGTAAGATGAAATTCTGATAGTTTATAAGATAAATCAGTGAGATTATTGTCAAAGTGTCGCAGACTATTATAATGCATATTTACATCAGTTGTCACTCTTTATCGCCTATAATATGACTTTAGAGAAATACTATATTTAAATAATATCTTAATAATGCAATACAATGATGATTGACAGATGTACAAATAAACATTCCTCAAAAAGCTTGTTGTATGATGCATTCTAGCATGATTTTTCTTTAAAAAATGTTTAAAAAAACCTCATTTGCTTCAGTCAAAAAAAAAAAAAACGTGAAGGTGGACATTTTTAGAAAGATACTAAATAATATCAATCAGGGACGTGTAGAAGATGCAAAGTTTTGACCATGTTTTGAGGTCTTACAAATTCAAATGTCAAATATGATAGAGTAGGCGTAATAGGGTTGATGAAATGGTTAATAAAAGGGAAGGCATTCCCTATTGCTTTGAGTGAAACCAGAAATAGCACTATTGATTTGTGAACGTAGCTGCCTGTCGTGTATGATTTGACCTCAGAATTTGTTTTGTTAACTACAGATTGTGTCTTTGTGTGTTGAACTCAAGGTTGTCTGAGAGGAATTGCATCGAGATCGTGGCCAAGCTGGTGGAGGATAAGAAGTTAGATGTGGTTCACACTCTGGATGGGAAAGAGTATGTGACTCCTGCACAGATCGGCCGAGAAGCGCGCGATGAGCTGTATATGCACAGAGGCTAGTAGAATACTTGAATTATTTGACTTTAATAAGTATGTATGAGTCTACTAAACGACTGTTCGAATCTAATGCTTTGCTTTATATTTTAAGGGAGGATTAATGTTGTGGATCTTCAAAAGGTTGGTTTGATATATAACATAACATAAACATTTTCTTTGCATCCTATGAAGGAGGGCAGATTTTATATGTGAATACATTTTTTAAAGGAAGAGTTCACCTCAAAATAATTTTTTTTTTTTTGGTACTCCATCCAAGATGTTTCTT